CATATCTAGCGTGGACTTGTTGATAAGCTTAGAAGTCTGCATAATGCAAACTGTGCCAACCTTGCATATCTAGCGTGGACTTGTTGATAAGCTTAGAAGTCTGTGTAATGCAAGCTGTGCAAACCTTGCGTAGACTAAGCTGGTCCGCAAAAGGTTAAATCCTTTGTGGAAAATACCTTTATTTTGGAGGCATTTCGGGCAGGGGGTTTCAGGTTACGTGTAGCAAAGGAAGAGGGATGGTCAAGGAAACCCTCTATAAAATTCACACTAAGAGAGTGTCGTTCAAAGTGCCCAAAAAACCCATTATTTTCACAAGGGCTTGCCACACTGCTCAATTTTGTGAAAAAATGACCACTGTAACATTTTGTGCATTTGCATCAAGACAGTTGTTGCTCTTTGTGAAGACTCGCCAACACTTCATCATACGTGCGTTCAAATCTCTACAGGTGTACAAAGTACAAAACCTTGGTCAAGGTTGTGTGTGCGTTTCACATACATGTACCCACAAATGTGTCCATATGCATGTAACTGCAATGTATTTATACATGTGTCAGGTATTTGTATGGGTAATTTTGGCGCAACTCCATGTTGTGGAAACTGGATCTGTTTAAAAAGATCCACGTTTGCTACAACTTGCAAACCGAACTGTGTTTGATGTGGGAACAAGTCAGGTCAAGAGCTTGTGTCATCTTGCACACAAAAGTAGAAGAACGAGAATCTCACTCTCTTTTCTAAAACATCAAAAATGACCACAAGATAGAGCTGCTTCGGAGGGGAATGGCAAAAGGTCAAAAAAGAAGATGAAGAAGCAAGATCAAAGAAATACTTACTAGCTATTTATTTGAAAGCAAGGCAAGGAAAGAAAAGTAAATACTTTGTAAATAGGGAAAAAAATTGAAGGTGTGTATTGGGCGAATCAGAATTGGAAACTCAAGCATGGCTAAGGTATGGAAATAAAGACACCACTATTGCAAATGGTGGAGACAAAGTAGATATCGTTGAAAACAATTCGATTTTCTGATGGTGTGTAAAAGAAATGGAATCAAGGAATTTATGAATAGGGAAGAGGAAAATTTCTGAAATGTCAGATAATATTACAAAATGGAATGGAAAAAAGTTACACCAGGTAGTGCAGAATGTGGGGACCACTGAAAATAGCAATAGAGAAAATTGGTTAATTTAACAAAGATGCCAACTATCAGCCGCAACCATATTTTGCATATAGGTGAACTCAGCTCAATGTAATTCCAGCATGCATGCCCAAACTATTCAACCCTTTCTGCCCTTCTTTTTCTATTGGTATTGTGCATGAGTATTCCGCAGAAAGGAGAGCCTGGGCTTGAACACAAAACCTTGGCTTTAAAAAAGAGAGCATAATAAATCTGGCAAACCTGTGAGCACAAAATGCACTTCATTAATTACACTTGCATATCTGACCACTGGCCACGGTAGGTTGTCATGAGATGGTGACTGGCCATGCGTGATACTGGCCAACTGACCCTCAGGTCAGAGTGACCGGCAACTCTCCGAAATACTCTCTCGCATCTGGCACGGCCATTCGGAGAACCCCCTCGTATACTTACTGATCTCCAGCTGTCGTTGGATGCGCCCCTTACACCTCTCTCGGTAGTCCGTCTGTGTGTTGTTGTAATCGGTCATCACTTCTACAAACTTCCGCGAGAGCGTTGAGTGCTGGATGGGATAAAGGAAGAAAACAAATAATGAAACTATCCAACTCGCTGGGGACTCATCTGTGCGTGAGACAGAGGTCACATGACCAGTCAAATCAATTCACAATTTTCCTGTTTATCCCGAACAGTTTATTCCGAAGAAGGTCTCACCTTGTCCCTTGTGCATAATTAGAAAATCCATGCACACTTGGGCAGCTTAAGGCTTCCATGAGTTAGGTTTTTTTTCCTTTCTTGTCAGTGCAGGCTACCCGACCTATAATTATTGTAATTACTATAATTTATTAAGAGATGTCTGAGATCATCGGGTCAGGGAACTAGACTCAGATAGTCACAGACAGTTGCTCGTGCCCACTGCTCATATATACAGCATTCTATGAAAGAAATAAGGCTGCATCCAAATATGTTGTCTACAGCTAGGTGCAGGTATTCACCCTATTGGAAATACGAGGAGACACACAGACAATAGACCTAGCTGTAACTCTGGAAGCCCGTTTCAGACACGGTCTAAGTCTCAGTGACGGACATGCAGAACAATGTGGGTTACTAGCTGTCCTAATCTTCCACTCAGTACACAAGCGGTAGAACCTTGTTATCTTTCCAACGGGTAACCGAAAAGAACTACGTCCATGCATCCTGAGAAAGTCATCCTCCCACTGGGTAAAAGCAAACCCTGACCTGTCCAACCTGTGACCTCGGTCAAGTTTTTGGATTTCTGTGCCACTCAAAGCATGAACACCAATGAGAAGAAGCTACTACTTAGCCCTAACTCCTACAACATTTCTGCCAAGCGGCTTCCTAACCCCCCCTCCAAAAAAAATCTTTCCAAAATCTCAGTGTGGGTTTGAAAGAACTCTGAGGACTAAAACTACCAGTACTACCAGTAAAAGGCAATTTTGTACCTGGGTCTTTCTTATCCTGACATCAGCCGAGTTCATCTTAGAGTTTTCTTCCTGCTCGATACTCTGTTCCATAACTGAAAAGGGAACCCACGCATGAAGCAGGTCAGTGGGTGAATGCACACCACAGAGAGGTTAACTTGTTGTGTCCACCATTACGTGGAACACAGCATGATTTACAGGCCTTCCAAAACGGCCTGTTAGATATAATTTAAAATCAAATTTAAAGAGCACCTCTAAGGAAAACATGTTTTTAAAGATTCTATCTGTTTAAATAAATATGGAAGCATCCAAATTGAACGCAGTGTCATTTGTGTTCAGAGCTCAACTGTAACAAGCTAAAAAGGCTTTTTTCTGTTCATGCCAAGATGGGAATTCTGAATGTACAGCAGATTGCATCATTCTAAGAAAACAGAGAAAACGACAGGAACCCTCGCCATGTGTTCATTGTGGATAAATCCTGTGCATGCCAAATAATGCACGTAGCCATTGTTTGGCATGTACACAGGTTATCCACTACGATACAGACAGAATCATAGAAGACATGTTTTCCTTAGAGGTGCTCTTTAATGTAAGAATTCGAACAGCATTTGCTCGGCCCTCACATGTTCAACAAGAAATTACTGATCAACAAAATGTACTCAGGCCTTCTGAGATTGCTGGGCCTGTCATTCAGTACCCGCTGAATGTACCTCAAACCAACAGCACATTCCGTCCCTCCCTGGAGGTGCCTCGCCCAAATCAGATCCAACCTGATTGGTCAACTCCAGACAACTGTGGCAGTTGAGTGGTTTAAGACATCCCCAGAACTAATAAGGAAGTTACGGTTTTCTTGGAAGCTGTCAGATTGTGCCATGGGCACTGCGAAGGGAGACAAGGGAGACAATTGACCCCTCCCCATTGAAAAAGAAAAGAATGAACAAATTTTTAAAAGACGGAGGGAGGGGATGAAAATCACCAGTTTGGTCGAAAATACATGTACCTTGGAATTGACCAGCGATAAGTACTATGCCTGGCAAACATTCAGAACTGTCATAAGTATGTCTGTACTTACAAGTACATGTACTTCTGACATCTAGCAGGTACCGGTTAATGTCCCGGTAAAACAATATTATGGTAGAAATGGTTCTTGCCCCGTCCCCTGGAGCCTCGTCCAGTGACTCTGCCCCCTGCGAGTAAATCCCAATGTGGTGCACTCTGCATGCATACATGTACCACAGCGTCCAGGCCACTCACCCTTTAACTTTCCCCTGACTTTGTTTGCCGTCTTCTTGATGTCGGCCATTAGTTGCTCCAGTTCCTCCTTCACCTCTGGAAAGACAACAGCGAAGGAAAAAAAAACACACCAGACATGTTTGGTTAAAGCCAACTGCCAATTATCATCTGTTCCCAGGAGCACTGTTGACTCACTCATCAAACTGCTGGAAGCCTCACCTCCAAGTTTTTCTGTGCGCGAGTAAAGATGTCAATTTGTAGAATTTCAGAATGAATCTTGTTTTTGATAATTGGTATAATTTAACTTTTTTGATATTTTCATGTTTGAACTGTTTATCTCCAAACTAATTGGAATCAATTTAGTGGGCCCTTTAACTCTTCCTTCCACTTGACCCCTTAACCTCCCTCAGCACCCTTTGGATGATATTCAATGTCGTGGAACAATTAGGCCTATTTCTTTGTTTACAGTCAGTCCGTTTGTCTGTCTGTCGGTCACGTGTCATGGCTGTTAGGCTGTTTGCATTTGTGCCATTTGTGTCTGTTGATTTGTATTTCATCTGCCCCTCTGTCCATGTCTTGCGTTTCAATGTCCGTTTTGATTTTGTCAGTCTTTTATGAACCTGACCTAAGTGTGTGTCCAATCTCATATCCATCCAACTTAAAATAGTACATCTTACATGTACCTACTGTTTTTCTATAATTTGACTAATGTACACCTATTGAATTATATATTTTCTAAAAAAATTTTTTATACCATATAGATCAGATATTAATAATTTCTATTCAATAATATGTGATGCCTTTAAATCTTTATTTAGTTTTATTTATATTTCTGTGAAATGCCTTGAGCGTCGACCTTTCATGGGTTTGGTGCTTTACAATAATTATCATATCATTATCATATGATGAGTACTGAGAGCAAAAACAAAAAAATTAGAGCCAAAGACAAACAGGAAGTAAGTAACTGAGATTTGAAATTTGGGAGAAATTTCAGGTGAAATTTGAGACCAATACTGTATTCAAAACAAGTTAATGCTCATCAACAGTGTCCATAAGTTACCTAAAATTTGAGGAGGAAAAAAAATGAAGCCAGCCCAGCATTTGCAAGATTTCTGGTACGTGTACAGTGGACACGTACATAAGTTGTACATGTACATCCCTGAACCACAGGATAACAATGACAAGAGAAAGTACATGTACGTACTAGTACTTGTCACACTTCAGTTTGTGACTCCGCTCGCTCGCTCACTCACTCACTCACTTATTTATTTATTTATTCATTTATTGTTTACCCTGGGAAAACCTTTCAGTGGATCACAGTTTTCCAAGGGTGCCCAGCTAACACAAGCAATTAACAATAAAAGAATAAAAATATTAGATAATCAATTAATAACAACAAAACAGCAAGGATAACCATTGAAATAACACTTAATTGATAAAACACTAAAACAGATTAAAATACTTAATTGGTCGGTACATTGGCAGTAAAAGCAATATCGGCAGCCATCGAGGAGATACATCCCCATTAAAGGGGGAGTGCATGTATATACGTACATGACATACAAGTGTATACACACACTTGTGCACTTACACAAATATACATGTACATATACCCATAGACACAAACATGCACATGCTCACATGTCCTTGTAGTCCATATGTACCGTTAATTCTTTAAAAATCAAGTTTTTGTACTGGAGCTTGAAACTTGCTGAAGGGAGAGGCAAGGGGTGTTTAAGTGTCGCAGGGAGATTGTTGAACAAACTAACCCCACGAGAGGCAAATTTACGTTTTCCTGAACTAGATCTACATACAGTAGATACTGCGGGCACCGAAAACTTGTGGTACCAAAGGCTTGTGATAGACTTGCAGTGACTTTTGACAATTTGCGGACAGATGGACTTTTTGTCCATTTGCAATTTGCCTGTGTTGCAATGTTACTGTGTGTACGCACACGGTGCACTGGCTCTGATGAGGTAAAAACTGGCCGGCTTGCACATTTCGACACAAGGGTACCCATCACGTGCGCGTGTGCAAAGATCTCCCGACCAAACTGTGTATCAGTACCCATGCTGTGTCTATGCCTCATATTTCCTCCCCCCCCAATCAGCAGAGTGGAAGTTCTGCGCAGCGTTCCAGCGGAAACGTAATTTGCCAGATTACGACTCCCTGTTTCCTTGTTGGATGCGGGGCAAGTAAACCGATTAAAATCAATGCTCTCTTTGGACCCTGAGGAAGATGCACGAGAGGGGCTTGGGAGTAGGGAAATGATGTAAGTGTGGAACAGATGAGTAAAGGTCAACAGTGCAAAGACAACACAATGAATAGGATGAAACTGGGCTTTTAGATGACACATGAAAAATAAATGATTAAATTTGTCTTAGATTAAAAAAATCAAGGTGTCTGTGTACAGGGCCAAGTTTTAAGGCACTGCTTACTGCAAGTAAAAATTGGCGCTTGCCATAGCAGAAAATTGTGTGCTTATGGCAAACGTATTTCACAGGTTAGTGAGGAATTTTGGCTTGCGTGCATGCGTACATCCCGTAACTAAGGATTCTGTGCTTAAGAGGTTAGCGCAGAATTTTTCGGCTAGCGCGGTTAGTGCAGAATAGAGATCAAAAGTCCAGAATTCTGCAGTAAGCAGTGCCATGAAATTGGACCCAGGTGCGCATCACGGATGTGTGTTTTGAGGGGGCATCTCCCTTCCTAGAAAGTACACAAATTGACAACGTACGAACTGTAAAAGACACTTTATGCTCTGTGCCTCTGTGCTTAACGTAGGTCCATCATTATCACATTTGATCTTTTAAAGGTGTACATACGGGTACATGTACATTACACACAGACACCAATCCCCCCCCCAGCATAGTTTGTACGTACTCTCATCAGAATAATGACAAGAAAAAAGGTACACATGTACATGTAACCCTTTAGCATGGTACAGTAATTTGCAAAAAATGGATCGGCAGTGTCCAAAATGGCCTGCAAGGTGTCCGCAAGACGCCAGGCACTCCATGGCGGAAAAAGTGCAGTGAAACTGCATTGAACACTGACACTCCTCAATTTCATTACCTGAATGAAGTGAGTATAAAATCGTCCATTCTCACCACTATCACTGGGCATGGCCAAAATTGCACACATGTACTGGTACACACACACCATGTCAACAGCAGAACTGAGGTCTGTGTATTGTTTTCTTTAGTCCAACATGGACATCTATGCACAAATGCACGGGGATGTGTTTGTACGTGTACATATACCTGTACATCCACAGTAAGGAAAATCTCCCAGTGGCCAGCTGACGTCTTTGGCGTCATGAAAAATTAACGGCGCATTTGTTCTATTGACTGTGCCTGCCAGTAGGTCAATGCAGCACACCCCTGCATGCATAATTTTGGCCAAAAGCTGGTGGTGTTTTAATTTCACATCGCCCCGGACCCTTTAACATGCATTGTGTGTACACAACTACTGTACATGTACATGAACTGAGCTACATGTACAATGTACAAAGTACATGTGCATGTACACTGTACGGTCACGTTCTGTGTATCTTGAACTACGTGTACATGTATGTACATGTAGTTACATGTACAGGCACACACACACATCCACTCTACATGTACATGTAGACCTGTATTTACATGTACAGTATACGCCATGTGTACCCATAAATAAATTAATGGCAATAACATGTGCATGTACAATGTATGTGTAAGCGTACATGTGCCAGTACGTGTTTATGAATGTTATACATGACAGCCATGGGTGTTGGACAGAACCAATCAACATTTTTATTGGTGCTGGGCAACTGCAATTTTACTATAATCCAGACATGCACAAATATGAGATCAGTACCAATTTCTCCAACATGTACATGTACTTCATGTACACGCTACATACATGTACACATACATTTGAATGTAATTAGAAAATTCTTTTTTGGCAAAAAACTTAACGCCTTAACCATACGTGTACAATGTTTGGCTCGTCTTGTAAGTGTACATCATGTATATTTAAAGACAATGTACACATGCACCTACCGGTACGTACCGGTACCAGTACATGATATGCAATGTACAATACATAAAATGTAATTTACATGTATCTTAAGATGAAAATATTTATTTGTGTGAAACGTGTGTGTGATCATACTGATGTCATCAGCAATGGAAAAGTCAAACATGTCTTAGGGGTCATGTTTGAACAGAAAAACATCTACATGTACATGTAGGTCCCACATGTTATTTTAGTCTCCCAGTCTGATAGAAAATGGCCTGCACCTTACATTTAAACCTACATGTACGGTACATGTACATGTAAGTGCACTGCTTTCCAAATCAAAGTGCTGAAGTTGTGCTGCCCAATATTTACGTTCTGGCTGAAGCCTTGTGGCAGTGAACTGGCTACCGGATAGCTCCCTCGAACCGGGTACTAGGCAACAGGCCAAGTGAGGAACACACTTCCCCTTTCCTCACTTTCTACACATGATGCCAAGTTTTGGGAGTGAAATTCTAGTTCTGTGAGATACTGTGGTAAATTATACATTGTATACAATGTACACGTAAATGCATCTGTACCAAACACATCATGCATGCAGGCCTACGGCCAAGTGCATTTTTAATGGGCCTTGTCAACAATATGGCCATTTCAGATCATTTCCTTGAATCAACTTCATTTATTGAACATGATGAAATCGGCTGGAGCATGACTATTTGCTACCAAAACAGGTATAGTCTCACTCTTTGAATTTTTACGCCTGCGGAATATAAAGGTGACATGACTTTTTATTCATGATTTGGAATTGCCGGTATGAGCACAAGGGTACCCACTGGAGTAACAAGGGTACCCACTGGAGTACAAGGGCACCCACTGGAATACAAGGGCACCCACTGGAGTACAAGGGTACCCACTGGAGTACAAGGGCACCCACTGGAGTACAAGGGTACCCACTGGAGTACAAGGGCACCCACTGGAGTACAAGGGTACCCACTAGAGCACAAGGATAGTAATCTATCATTTTCCCTATTGTATCATCTGCATTCCCACATACCGGTATAACAAGTCCTCCAAACATTTTAACAGTACATGTACCAATA